CATGTCATAGCAAAAAGGCTAAATTTTCGCACAGGCCAGTAAATGAGTTACAAAATATTGGAACTTAAAAATGGCTTCTAATTAAACATGTCTTAGCAACTTTGTTCTGGAAATAGTCAAACAAATTTTTGTGTATCTGAGACAATGTATGCACAAATATCTTTGGAAGTCAGGTTTATCTTGATTCCAGGAGGCTGATGTTTATTCTCAAATGACTAAGGCTTGAAATGTCAAATTTCAATGAATGACTCCTCATTTTAAAGATTACATACTCAGGTATCTGCAGATACCAAAACATTGAATTACAGTTTTGTTACAACTTATCCACAACATGCCTCAAATAACCTGAGAACAAAAGATGCTGCAAAACATAAATCTGAGTATACTGTACTCTTTCAGGAAAAAACGCTTATCAAACTCAAGTATCTGATACTGTATTGAAATCAACAAATATTTATTCAGTGTTTATATGTTAATATGAATTTTCCGAAGAAAAGGTAAACAGACTGGTAAATATTATGATGTCTTAGAAATGTGCTTTTGAAAAATAATATCGTTTTTGTCATTTTAAGTGCATTAAAAGAATATTTAAATATGCAAACTGTTATCTTATGTTTTTTTTTACAGAGTTATGTTACAGACCGTTTTTTTAGTCACCGAAGGAAGGTGGCTAGCCACCCTATTCACCCCCTCTAGATCCGCCACTGCATCTACTTCACATTCCTTTTGACCCTTTCCTCTTCTTGACCCTGACATAGACATCAATTGGTCGTCTAGGCGTGATCTTATCACCTCAATTGAGTCAAATATTCCAAAAGCTAAAGTCAAGAATACCAAATCGTCACCTTGGATTGATGGTGACTTTTCTAAAAAAAAAAAAAAAAGGAACAGATGGGCGTAAAGCCAAAAAATTCAACTCGCCAATTCACTAGGAAAAATACAGAATTTTGCGCAATCGTCTAAAGAATCTCGCTACATCAAAGTACAATAATTATGTTAATAATCTCTGCTGATGTTACTGTAAAGCTAATCCTAAGCGGTTTTGGTCTTTTGTGAGAGCCAGAACCAAAAGTAAATCATTACCTCAAAACTTATTTTATCAAACTCATTCTGCTTCTCATCCCCATGAGAAAGCCAACTTATTTAGTGAACTTTTCAAATCATGCCACATTCTGCCTGATATAAACAATTGCATTATTCCCGAATTATCATCTTTTCATCTCACAACAGAAGTTACAAATATTCTGCAAAATCTTGACTGCAGCAAATCAGCTGGTTTTGACAATCTTCCGCCTATTGTACTCCGTAAATGTGCTGCTGAAATTGCCCCCTCACTATGCCTTCTATTGTAACAAGTCATTACATATTGGTAAGCTCCCTTCTGATTGGAAGAAAGCAATTGTCGTAACAAGGAGGACATAAAAAACTACAAAACTATCTTGTTAGTAAGGTTCTTGAACGCCGTATATTTTATAGGATTTATCCTTTCATTGAACCACAGCTAAGCTACAGCCAACATGGATTTGTGAAAGGTTGCATACATATTCAAAGATAAAAAAAAACCATGAATAACACTTTTTATTTATTTTTTCCATTTAAATGTTAAAAAATAGCAACAACATAATCAATAAATCAACATAAATCATGCATTTATTAATACTAAAATAATTTATTTGTGGCCAATTTCACAGAAGTGGAATCACAATTTTCCAGAAATTCAATCCGGGTATTAGTATACCCCACAAACAATGGGTTGATATGAACATCAAATTTTTTTTTTTTAATTAAGAAAAAGAGAATTCTACAATCATAATTACAGGGTTTGGATGGGGTTTGCAGTGTGTTTCGAGGTTTGTGGTGTATTTGCAAGTATTTTTTCACAAAAAATTCAACATTTTAACCAAAAAAATAGGTTCTTATGAATATTTAATTTTCTTATTAATATACCAAGTGAGTCAATTGAATTGTTTTGTTTTCTACAGTGTGTATTAGGAGGTTTGTGGGATTTAGCAATACTGTACCATTTAATCCTACCATAATTATCCTCACAATTACACGCTATTTAAATTCTTAACATAATTGCCATATTTACATAACTATGTATATATAGTATCTCAGTTTACATTATTTAGTATAGTTTTAGGCACTTAAATTTACTTGGCGGGGAGTAAAAACCAAGTATGGAATTTTTAAATAAGTTTCTTAAATAAATGTATTCCTAATTATTCAGTTTACTTTAAAAACAATAGGCCTTACTTGATTAACAAATACTTCTTTGAAGTAACTCTAAGCAGAACATTTATTGCTATAGAGTTTGTGAGAAAGTAAGCCTCTCCCTTTCCCCATACATGAACTTTTGGTTCGATCACATAATTGATCTACATGCTTTAACTACTGTTTATTTGCATTGTTTATACATGTAAAGTTATTTCATTTGATACTTAAAAAAATTGAATTTTGTGGTTATCTATGAGTTGCATATATTGGTAGTTGAAGTAAA